TAATCCTCATTGGTAAGAAATGAGCTGATCTATTCAATCTATCCACAATCATCTAAATCGAATCATATCCCTTCAAAGTCTTTGGTAGGCTTGCCACAAAACACATAAAAATGTTATCCCATTTCCACTCTAGAATATTCAACGGTTGCATCAGACTCAACAGTCATTGATATTCAATCTTCGTCCTCTGACATGTCAAACAAGCCTAAACAAGATTGGAAATATCTTTCTTCATACCTGGCCACCAAAACAATTTCCTCAGATCATGGTACCTCTTTGTAGCACTGGGATGAATACTCAATCTACTTCGATGTCCTTCCTCAGGAATACTCTTTTTCAACTCAACAATATCTGGAACACAAACTCTATCACGACATCTCATGATACCATTTTCATTAGTCCGAAAATCAACTCTTCGACTTTGATCCATCAAATTCAACCGATCTACTAACTCAAATCAGATTTCTGACCTTCTCGAATCTCATCAAGAATACCACTAGTTAGCTTCAACATACCAAGCTTAACTCCATAAGAAGTTTCTTCACAAACCAAACTCATATCACGAAATTGCTCAATCAGCTCTAACTCTTTTACCATCATCATCGATATATGCAAAGATTTCCTACTCAATGCATCAGCTACCACGCTTGCTTTATCTGAATGGTAATTCAAACCAAAACCATAATCCTTCAGAAGTCCCAATCATCTCCTCTGCCTCGCATTCAATTCTTTTTATCAAAGAAATACTCCAAACACTTATGATCACTAAACATCTCAAATCTCGAACCAAACAAATAATGCCTCCAAAGCTTCGACACAAACACAACAACCACCAACTCTAAATCATGCGTCAGATGATTCCTCTTATGCATTTTAAGTTGTCTTGAAGCATAAGTTAAAACTTGTTGATGTTGCATTAACGCACCTCCCCATCCCAGCAACGAAGCATCACAATATACAACAAATGGTTCTGTCGGATTTGGTAAAATCAAAACATGAGTTATTGTCAGCCTTCTCAAAAGCTCTTGAAACTTTCTTCACACTTTGCATCCAAACAAAAGCTTGAACCTTCTTAGTCTACCGTGTCAATGGCAAAGATAACTTAGAAAATTCCTTCAATGAATTTTCGATAATAACCTGCCAACCCAAGAAAACTTCAAATCTCAAAAACATGTTTTGGAGCTTCCCATTGCGATACAACTTCAACCTTCAGCATATCAACCGCAATAACTCTACTCGAGATCACATGACCAAGGAAACTTAATTCCTTCAACCAAAACTCACACTTTGACAGTTTTGCATACAACTGCTTCTCTTTCAACGCTGATAACACAATTTTCAGCTGCTCAACATGATCCTCTTCACTCTTCAAATATATCAAAATATCATCAATGAACAAAACCACAAACTTGTCCAAATAAGGATGGAAAATATTGTTTGTGTACTCCATAAATACACATGGTGTATTAGTCACACCCAATGGCATCACAGAATACTCATAATGTCCATACCTTGTCCTAAAAGCTGTCTTTGGAATATCCTCAGGCTTCACACGAATCTGATGATACCCAGATCTCAAATCTATCTCACTGAACACACTTGCAACAACCAACTGATCCATCAAATCATCAATCCTTGGAAGTGGATGCTTATTCTTGATAGTCACCTTATTTAGTTATCTATAACCCACACACAACCTCACAAAACCTTCTTTCTTCTTAACTAGCAAAATTGGTGCACCCCATAGTGACAAACTCTGACAAATGAATCTCTTCTCAAGCAGATATTCAAGTTGATTCTTAAACTTCTGCAATTCCGGTGTGGACATACGATATGGAGCCATCGATACCTCACTAGTTCCAGGAACTAAGCCGATTGTAAGCTCCACTTCATGTTTCAGCGATAAATCGCTTATCTCATCAGGAAAAACTTCCGGGTAATCACAAATAACTGTCACACCACCAACTTCCCCACTTTATTAGCACTCAAAGTTTCCATCAAAATAAACATCTCAGCATCATCCTGCACCGACTCACAAAAACAATCTGTAAGCACTTAGCTTAACTCAAAACAATTCACAACACACGCCACCTAAGCTTACAAGGCACATCTATCCCATCCAACATGACCCCGTCTACTATCAACAAGAGATTAAGGGTGATCAGTTCCTCAATTTGTCAATAGACATTCGAAAATCATGATGGAGCATAAACCATCTTTTACCAAATTATAAGAGCGTTCAACAATACACTGAGCCACCACTCCACACTTGAAGCATCTTGGAGAAGAACGAGCCTCTCCCCCACTTCTCACTTCTGCAGGAAAAGGTTAGAAAACAAACGTGTACCGACAGTGTTTTCACACACATGTCGCATACTAGTAAACAAATAACATTAGACAACTTGGCCGGACTGGTCGACCTGCTTTAATACCACTAATGTAACACCCTTTTCTACCCCAAAAATATAATGGCAAATCAATCACAGTTCCTCATGGGGATTCATCATGTAATCATGTATTAATCTCATAAGAATCACAATTATACTCATGGGTACTCATCATACGGTCACGTATTAATCACATAGGAATCACATCTATACTCATAGTAATTCATCATACATTCATTTAATCACATAGTAATCACAATTATACTCATGGTAACTCATCATACGGTCATGTATTAATAACATAGGAATCACAACTATACTCATAGTAATTCATCATACATTTATTTAATCACATAGGAATCACATGGTAGTTCATCAGGAAAATCACAGCATCAAAACATCAAGACATCACTGAACCAGAACATAATTTGTGAAACTCTACTATGTTCACTGGCTAGTTCGTCGTGCGAGTCTGAGGTGAGTGTTCGCCGTGCGAACTCGTGATTACAATAAAACGCTATTACGCACCAGTGGCAAAACCAACCCAAAAGTCCCTATGATTTCCTTCCTCAATGCCCCAAAAACATCCATAAATCATTCCTAAGGTATTAAGGCGATAAAGGCACAAAATTTACAACTTATTAGGCCAATCCTGTATCATATTTACGCCTCCAATTCCCATAAATCCTTACAAATTCCCCATATTCATATAGTTCTCATAATCCGTTACCCTACAGGGTTAAACAATCTCAACAACAGATTTGGCCACGAAGGCCTAATTTCCCTTACTCTCAAATCAACCTCAAACATATTAGACCATCAGTTCAAATCCTCAAACTCATTGAACTCCTCACTAGAAAGGCAACAATAATTCAATACTCAAAAACCCCTAAACCCTTAAATCGGCTTTAAACACATTGAATCACATATTGAAAACAATGAAAGCAATACTCCCCATACCTTAATTGTCGATTCTAAACCTTTCTCCTTTGATTCTCGGAAACCTCGCGAAGCTTTGCCTCAATCCTCTTCCTCAGAGCTCAGGCCTCTATTTCTTCTCTTTTCACGGTCTAA